CTTGCTCTTGCTTGCTTGCTTCCCTACGGATTCCTATGCTTGCTTGCTCTTGCTTGCTCTTGCGTGCTTGCTCTTGCACACTCACTTGCACTGGCTTGCTTGCTCTTGCGTGCTTGGTCTCGCTTGCTTGATCTTGCTTGCCCTTGCTTGCTTGCACCTGATCGCTGGCTCTTGCTAGCATGCTTTTGCTCTCTTACGCTTGCTTGTTTCCGCTTGCTTGCTTGCGCCTTGCTTGATGTTGCTCCTCCCGTCCTGCTCCCGTCCTCCTTTCGTCCTCCTCCCGTCCTCCTCTTGTCCTCCTCCTGTCCTCCTATCTATTTGGAGTCAACGCTGGCGGATATGCTTTCAGTGGGAACAGTGCCTCCATGTGTTGCCTTCCCTCCTTCCCCCATCTTCCCTCTTCCCTTCTTCCCTCCTACCCTCCTCCCCCTCTTTCCGTACCCCGTGTCCTCCCTCCCATCTCTCCCATCTCTGTCTCTCTCTCTCTCTCTCTCTCTTTTTCTCCCCCCCTGTGGTAGGGTGGGCCAGGGACGACGGGGAGGACAGCGCCACGCCCGCCTGGTGGGTCTTGCCTCGCGGGCGTTGGGCGCGAGGGCGGACAGTTGTGAGGGGATGGGCAGGGCAGAGGCGTCCGCGCCTACGCCCAGGGCTCCTTCCCCTGTCGGCTCGGAGGCCCTGAAGGTTGGTTGGTGGCCGCTGTGGGCGATTTGGGGGCTGCAGGGGCAGAAACCCGAGGGCAGCCGAGAGGGCGGGCCAGCCGCGGCATGACCTCATTCGGCTTCCGCACCCGCACCCCGTGGTATACAGCTCTGGTGGAAGGGGGCGCCCCGCCACATTCCCCGGTTGCGTCCAGGAGTGGCAGGAGGCATTGAGGCAACCCGCTTTGCACCTGGAGTGTCCCAAGCGGGGCGCATGTGGATGCGGAAAGGGAGCTTGAAAAAGGATCCGCCCTGGGGTCAACCAGCCTGTCCGTGCAGGGCCTACCGCAGTCTGCCCGCGTGGTAGGCTGAAACCATCTGGATCTGCTACAAGCCCCGACCCCCCCATCAGCCGTTGCGACCTCAGCCTTCCCCGACCCCCAGGGGACCAGGGCGCACTGATCAGCCAGAGACGGCGGGGCGAAGGCCTAGGCAGCTGTGTCTGGACGGACGGGTGCTAGGTGGGCCCAGGGGTCATCTTCGCACAAGCTCCCCCCAGGCAGGAGGGCCTGGGGGCACTCGGATGCTTCGGAAAATAATACTCGCGGGGCCCTGTGCAACTCTGGACGGAGAGGTGCTAGGAGGACGCGTGGGTCTTCGTCGCGCGGGCTCCCTCCAGACAGGACGGTGCTGCTGCGCCCTGAAAGAAGAGGGCGGAAGGTTGCGCCAGAATGCCCAGAGCCATCTTCGCAAGGCCCGCAGTCGTGTGCCAAAAGGAGGGCGTGGGTTGCGCTAGGAAGTCCCTGAGGACTTCTTCGCACAGGCCCCTCCCCCGCCCTGGCCACCCCCACCGAGCCACCGCTGCCCCTCTCACACCGCCCACGGAGCAGGGCACGAGAGGCTCCGCCGCTGCTCATAGAGCGCCCCGGGACCCTCCCGGGGTCCAAGCGCGGGTCCGAGCGCACCAGTGCTTCCGGCTGCGTCCCGCCGTAGCGACGAGGATGCCTATAAGACAGCCCTCACCGACCAGCCCCCAGGAAAGCGCGGATCCCTCGAGGGCGCAGGGCAGGCCCTCCGGGATCGACCTGGAAAATCACTCCCCAGAGCTCTCGTCAGACAAGACGCTAGCGGGGAGGGCCCCTCAAAGGGGGCCCCGGACTGGGCACCGGCGGAGGCGGACTCCACGGAGCCGAACGCCGCTCCGGGTCCCCAGCCACCCAGCGGGCGAGAGCTCCAGGAGAGAATCACAAGGAGAGCTCCAGGAAGGACCCACATGCAGGGCTCCGAGAGGGGGCCGAGAGCTCCGAGGGCACCAGACGAGAGGCGGACTCAAGCTCGGACCCCCTCGAACAGAACATGGCGGAAGAGACTCGGCAGCTCAAGAAGCGCCTCCCGGACCCCTCCCGGGGTTCAAGACAAGAAGTTTTCCCCAGCTGCGTCCAGCCGTGGCGAGGAGGATGTCTCCCAGAGGCCAACAGGCCTCACGGTGATAGGACGCCCCAGGGGTGCGTCTTCTCGCGCAGCCCTGCCTGGAGGAGGTGGGAAGGAGGGGCAGGGAGAACCAGACCGCGCTTTTCGAGGGGCTCCGCCCCAGTACTCCTTGGCACGGGAGTCCACGGCGGGCGCCCGCGGCAAGGCGCAGCGGGCCTCGGGGCTCTTGACTTGCGACAGTGCCTCGCTCAGAAAGTACCTCCACTGCCCCTCCCCGTGCGAGGAGAAGGGGGGCCAAGCGCTCCGCTCTAAACAGGGCCCCAGACCCCCTCCTGGGCCCGCAAAACATGAACAAGACGACGACGATGACGACGACGACGACGACGACGACGACGACGACGACGACGACGACGACGACGACGACAGCGACGGCGACGGCGACGGCGACGGCGGCGGCGGCGGCGGCGGCAGCGCAGAGCGCACGCGGACCCCCTTCCGTCGATCGCCGCCCGCGAGCCCCCTTGCTGCCGATCGCCGCCGCTGGCGCGCGCCAGACGCACCTCCCTCCGGCTCCAGAGGAACGGCGGGGGCAGCGACGGCACCAGCGGCAGCGAGGGCGGCGACGGCGGCGTCGACGCCGGCGCTGGCACCGCCGCCCCGCCAGGCGGCCGGCCAGAAGCGCCTCTGCCCCGGCCTCAAGAAGGCCGACCTGCAGAAGCTGGAGAGGGGAGGGACGGCCGACTCCGCGAGGCCCGGCCGACGCCGTCGTCGTCGTTGTCGTCGTCGTCGTCGTCGTCGTCGTCGTTTTCGAAGGTGTTCGGACGGATGCTCTCGCAGGTTCTCGGAAGCTGTCGGAGGTCCTCGGAGGCTCTCGAAAGCTTTCGGGGGTTCTGGGTAATCCTTCATTTTCGGCGGCGTCGAGGTCCTCGAGGATCATGGAGGCACGAGGTTCGAGGTTCCAGGATCGACTTCAGAATTTTCATGTTTTAAGATTCCCCGGATGCTTCTTCGGAGGCCTCTTTGGATTTCCGGGGACCTCTGGAGGCGGAGGTCGACCTGGTCGCCGAGGTGGAAGTTGTCGCCAGCGTCGACGTCGCCGTCGCCGTGAGCGTCGTCGCCGTCGGTGGAGGTGACGGAGACGGGAGGCGGACGACCACGACGAAGTGGAGGAGACAGATGGCGAGGAGATGGGGGACCCCTGGCCCTCCCCCCTTTGTCCTCCCCCCTCCCCACGGTACCCCCTTCCGCTTCGTCTTCCCCTTATCCTTGCCTTCCTCTTCTCTGTCCTTCCTTCCCCTTGTCTTCCTGCTCTCTGTCTCCCCCCCTCCCCCCGTTCCCCTCCTCTCCCTCCCCGTGCCAGGCTCAGCTCGAGATCCTCGTCCTCCGTCTCGTCCGACAGCCTCGCGGCGCTCGAAGCGCAGGCCAAGAGGCTTCGCACCACGATCAAGCGGCGGTCGAAGGCAGCCTGCGGGAGGGCGAGGGTCGAGGGCAGCAGTTGTCGAGCGGTCTCGTCGGCTCGCGGTTTTCGAGCAGTTTCGTCGGTTCCCGGCGGCTTTCAGCCTCGCGTGCTCTCCAGCAGCTGCTCCTTATCGAGGGGCCTGTCTCCAGCGGTCTCCGGGGATGTGTGGGGGTCCGCCGAGGTCGCAGGAGGCCTCCAGAGGTCAGTGGAGGCCCAGTCGCAGAGGCAGAGCAATCGCCTCGTGAGTCGCAGTTCGAGGACAGGGGGAAGGGGGGAGCGGAAAAGAGGGGGGGGCGCTTATCCTGGCGTTGGTGTGGCTCGGCTTTCTCTGGAGCGGCGTCGGGGACCTTCATCTCGACTGACATCTCCTAGGCTTGCCCTTGCGATCCTCCGGCTCGCGGAAGCCTGCAGGTTGGATGGAGTCTCCATCCTCCTTACCCTCCTCAAGCAAGATCTTGGCGGCAACCATCAATCACAAGCGCAAGACTCAAAGAGGTCGCGCAGCAGGAGGCGCACCACATCCAGCAGGGTTTCATCCCGCAGAGGCAGCTCAGCATACATAATTGGCGCCTGGGTGCGAGAGCTAGGACGGCATCGAACCCGGAATCTGTCATGCCTGATCGCCCTTGCTTCATTAGTTTTGACATCAAGGCGCCCAGCGAGGCCCAAAGAGGGCCCGAGATGGCTTGAAGATGGCCGACGAGGGCCCCAAGAGGGCCTTCAAGAAGCACACATCGGCCCATTTCTATATTAAAACGTACATTTTCAGCATACTCGATTGCTTCGTCTTCACAGTGCCCCAGACGCCCCCGATGAGCCCCAACACAGCCCAAGAGAGACCCAAGAGGGCCCAAGATGGCCCAACAGGGTCGTCCTGTGGGGCTCACGGAACCGTCCAAGACGGCCCAAGAGGCCCCGAAGCCGGCCTTCCCGTCGCTCGCGAGGCGGTGGTTGTGGGGAATGCTTCGACTCCTCCGCCTCCTCCTTCTCCTCCTCCTCCTCCTCCTCCTTGTTTTTCGCTCGACGGCCCGACCCTTGATTGCTGCATGGCTTGGGTGCCCGGCGGGCGATGCCAGCTGGCGAGCAGGCTGTCTCATTATGCAGAATTGGGGCCCTGGGCTGGAAGTTGTTCTGGGGATACTTACTCGCGACCCTCTGGAAGGAATGGCCCAACTCCCCTTGGGAAGAGCCCGAGGCGATAGTGCAAAGGTGGGCCGACGTTGTAGGCAGCGTGCCTTGGTTCAAACAGTCGCGGTCTCGCCTGTTCACGGCCAGCCAATCCGCGTCTCGGGGGTACAGTGCAACTGACGCCCCACGGATCCGGATTCGAGAAACCAACCCAATTCGCCTCAAATGGCTTGGTTTCCAGCGGGCAAGAGACCCGTGGAGCCCAACCTCAAGGCCTCTACCTCTCCTCGCCCATCACCTGTCTCGTAGCTCGGGAAGCAAGCCTCCCCGTCTCTTTCAGAGCTGCAGCGCTCGTGGCCAGCACTAAGACACTTGCTGCTCGCCTCAAAGCCCGCCTGAACTGGGGCTCACATCTAGACGACCGTGGGCGGATGGACGACCACACACAGGGTCAACGTCGAGTGTCCTAGTAGTTGTTTGTTTGGCTGCCCCCATTGCCTTGATTATTTTACGCACTACCTCAGTTGTCCCCGCCCCCTCCGATTCCTATCCCTCGCTCGCTCTCCTCTCCCCTCCGATACCATCGTTCGCATGCGGTTGGCGCTCCTTGGTTCGTATACCACCCAGTTTACGTGTGAGCATGCACTCCGCATCCCCTCCCAACACGTCTTCCGCATACGTTAACTTACCTCGCGCAGTTCTGGCTGCCATCAGCATGTAAATGAGATCGTTATGAGTGTTGCGCCTGATGGTATTTGCGTTCCTCCTCCTCATACTCCTCTTACCATCATCATCATCATCATCATCATCATCATCATCATCATCATCATCATCATCATAATCATCATCATCATCATCATCATCATCATCATCATCATCATCATCATCATCATCATCATCACCATCACCGTCATCACCATCATCATCATCATCATCATCAGAATTATCATCATGATCATCATCATCATCATCATCATCACCATCATCATCATCACCATCATCAGCATCACCATCATCATCATCATCACCATCACCATCACCACCATCACCATCACCATCACCATCACCATCACCATCACCATCACCATCACCATCACCAGCATCATCTGCCTTCTCTTCCTCCTCCTCCTCGTCCTCGTCCTCCTCCTTCTGGCGTGCTTGATCGTGGACCCCACGACGATGTGCGTGAAGGCACAAACCCGTGAGGGTCGCAGCAGAGCCGCCGACCACCCTCCCGAAGGACGCCCCGCCCGGGCCCCGCCGCGGCGGCGGCGCCGTCCGCACGCTCCTTGGGGCTCGCTGGCGCCAGCCGCCCGCGCTGCATGCGGGGAGGTGGCCGCGGCTTCGGCCTCGGCCTGACATGGCGCTCGAGCGTCCGGCTCCGCCGCGCCCGGCCGACGCTCCTCCGAGTCGCGCTTTTGGGCCTACCGCGGCTCTGCAGAGATCCGAGCGCATCACCCAGATGCCCTCGCGTCGTGGAAAAAGCGAGGCGGGAGGCTTCTCGCCGTGTTCGGCTCCAGGGAACCCGAGCCGGGCCCCGGGGCCGTCAACAAGACTACTCGGGAGGAAAAGCCAGGCTTGAGGAACGGGGCGCAGAAACTGCACATCGCATGTCTGGGAAGGTCCGAGCGCAACGTTCGGCACCCGTGCGGGTGGTTGGTTCGGCGGCCTCTCCTGCTCTGTCGCGCGGGCGCCCGTGCGCGGCTTGGTTGGCGCCTGCCGCAGCGGCCGCCGCCGAAGCGGCCAGCATCGGGCCGCGGCCCTCTGCCAAGCGGCTCTGGTTTCCGCGCGCCCGCGCCAGCGAGGGTGGTGCAGCGCCGATCCAAGGAGTCGGCGCGGACCTCCGAAAGCTCCTGCTCGTGCAGGTCCCTGGGGCCCAAGAGCTCACCACCCTCGCTGCCGCCCGCAGCGGCTGACCCTGGCCCTCCCGGTGCTGGGCGGGTGCGTACTCGCGCGCAGCCAAGTTGCAGGCTCGCCGGGCAGGCGTCGGGCCAGGGCCCCCGGACCAGAGTGCCTGACCGCGCGGGCCGCCCAGGCAGTGCGGGCGTCAGTCAGTGGCGGCAGAGGGCAGGTCTGTTCTGTGTGATCTATGGCGACGAGGGCGGTGACGGTGGTCTTGACGATGTTTGCTGCCGGGTGGCGGTGGCGGTGGCGGTGAGCAGACGCCATGGTGGCGATGACCCGGCCGAAAGGTGGAGGGTGCCAGTTGCAAGAACGACGACGTCGACAAGATCTTGTCCCACTATAACCAGGTCGTGTGTGGCGCACTGCTTCGACGTTCTTCTGTCATGTTGCCTCATTATGTTGCTGCTGGTGCTTCTGTTGCTGTTCGTCTTGTCTACGTCACCGTTCGCGTTGTCGCTGCCGCCGTCGTCCACGTTGTCGCTGGCGTCGGCAGCGTCATCACCCTCGTCGTTGTCATCCCCCATTGGCTCTTGTGTCCTCTCCTCCCCCTCCCCCCCTCCCCACCCCTCCTCCTCATTCCTCAGCCCAGTCCTCCTCTCATTCCTTCCGCTACAGAAGTTGGGGGCGTGGGGCGTTGGAGATGGCCGAGCGTAGGCGGGTGGCGCCCGCTCGGCAGGTGCCTTGCGAGGCCGCCCGCTCCAAAGGCAAGGCCAGGCAGATCGCACAGCGACGCCCTGCCACAGCGTCAGTGGCGCGCCCTCTCCCTCATTTCCTGGCCTGCGCACGCTGCCAGAGGGCAGCAGGCGCGGCTGCCGAAGAGCACCCTGGCAGGGGGCGGGCCACGCGAATGGCGTGGGCAGGTGCTGCGGACCTCGGACTGCCAGCTGGCAGCCGCGCGTGTCGACCGGTGCAGGCGCAAGTCGGCGGCGCGCCCAGGGGCCAAGTTTCGGAAGTTGTTCGGGAGTTATCGCTGCTTCTTCGAGGTGTTCTCGCCTCGAGAGCTTTCCCGGGGTGCCTGGATCGTCGAGAACGGCCGCTGGAGGCCCGAGCTACGGCCCGAAAACTATCCAGAGCTGGCCTTCTCAGAAGGCTCAGAAGACATCTGGCCTCCCGAGATGCTTTCTGAGCCGTGTCCGAAGGCAGAGGAGGCTTCTCAGAAGGCCTGATGGGGGTGAGAAGCCCCGCCGCCTTCTGAGAAGGCCAGCCCCTTCTCACTTCTCTCCTTAGCGCGCCGCCGTGTACATCCAGCTCCCCATTTCCACTCTCCATGGCTAGCTCGAATATTCACATGTCGATGTCGGAGTGCGAACGAACGCACTAGAACCTCTGTGTACACGTCTCTAAGGACAAGCAAGTGGCACATAGGCCACGATAGCAATGGCGCACGCAACGCACTAGCGCCTCTGTGGACACGTCTCTAAGGACGAGCAGGTGGCACATAGGCCACGATAGCAATGGCGTCCGCTCTGACCACAACCCCCTCTTTCAAACGAAAAAAAGGGGGGCGGCCCTCTCGCGCTCTCCGACCATAGAATACCTTCGCACAGACACACGGTGGCACACAGAGAGCGGGATGCCCGCAGACTCCCAAACGACCTCCCCGGACTTCACGAGGACATTAAACTTGGACGCGAGTTGGAAGAGTGGGGTCCACTGGAATTGCCGGAACGAACACCGCCGCCGCCGTTACGACAAAGAGTTTGACTTTGCAATCGTGCTCAGCAGACGCAGCAGCGCCGTTACGACAGTCAGGGGCCTCTGGAATTACTTGAACGGCACAGCAGGCGCCGTTTCGACAAAACGTTCGGCCACAAAACTCTTGAGCGACCGCCCGCGGCGTTACGACACAAAGTTTGCATTTTCCCGAGCTTCTGAAGCCGACTATACGTTAAGTTCGTCGAGCTTATCGGTTTTGGCTTGCCACTCGCGGACCAAAGACCCGCTCTCCTCGACTAAGGACCCGCTGGCCTGCTACCCTTGCTTCTCCTTGCCGCCACTAGCGACCAGGCACGCGACGACGGCACGGAGGACAGGCTTGATCTCAGGTGCGACGATCATGTGCAATTATTCCAAATGTCCATCGAACGTTTCGCGAAATTTCACAGGAAGGTGTTTGCCAATCAACTCGTTCGGGTTGCTGATCGCAGCCTGGTGGGCACGAAGTGTGTCCAAGGCCTCTTCAGTCGCTTGGTAACTTTTGCCGGTCGCAATGGCAGTCACGATCCGGCACCACAGCAAGATTTGGTTCGGGCCAGCGTTCGACGTGCCACCCGATTCTTTGTGCTCTTTGAGGTTCTCCTCGTGGCGTTGCATCTCGGACTGCCCCGCTGAAGTCGGGAAAAGCCCCGTCTTGGAGATGAGAGTCGTGATAATTGCTGCACGTATGGCCCAGGCGATGTCGAGGTTAAGTATGTGAGCCAGTTGCGTGACAAGCGTGAGGACCTGGCGTTGCAGCTTCATGATGGCCTGTTCTTCCGAGCTGGAAGAGCCATTCCGTTGCGTCTTCGACTTCGGACCATCCTGCAAAGACCTTTCCATGAGATGGAAAGTAGGGGCTTTGTTTCTGGACGTGCGTATTGCATGTTCAAATTGGCGCTCTCGTGGTTGCAAGCTCTGCAAGGGAGATCAACAGGATCACGATCGTCGACGACATGATATCATGATATGCACGGCTCTTCCCCTCACATCGCCCACGCTTGAATGATGCAAGAACATGGTCACGATCCGATCGTTCGCTCGAGTTCATACGTGCTTTTGCACCAAGGGCATGGTTTCGTGATGACTGTGACTGCACCTGCATGTTTCTGCTGGTTTTCTGGTTTCTTACTGCACGCCTAGCCAGACCTGCATCATCGTGGTCAAATTCACCGCAGACCGCTCCATCACTCATGTTGGTATCACATATGGAGAAGGCCTGTGCCGCAGGATCGTCTACAATATCAGGGAGAGGAGGAGGAGGAGGAGGAGGAGGAGGTGCATCGAGATTCCAGGACGCATCTGGAGCAGGCGGTTGAACGAGATATTCCAGAACTAGTTTGTAAGATTCTCGGCCTGGGCGCGACGAACATGTTGCACGTTCACGGCGAAGGCAGGAGTACTTTTCGCCCACCACTTGGCGTAATTCAGCCGCCCTTGAGGTATGACATAAAGCTTGTAAGTCTGCACGGACAAGTTCCATCCCGTCGTGAGGGGCATCGCCGTACTCGCCAGTAGGGGGCACGAAGGGCGCGGAGTTTCACGGAGCACGCCCGAACATGGTCGCCAAAAGATTGTTCGTGGGCCTCCAAAGCCCTAGAAACCCGTTGCCATAGTTTAAGCCATCGAATTTGCAGCTCAATGTGGGATAGCTGGATATATCGCCAAACCTATATAGCAGATAATACAGATTACTTGGTAATACCGTCCTCCTGTTCAAGACGTTCACATGCAGTGCCGCGCATAAGCTTGCGACACTTCGTTTGCAAGGGCACGTCCAAACATCCAGACTCTGCCTATTGGGAACAGCAAATTCAATACCCGACAGGAGAGGTGCAGACACCATACACAGAAATACGAGACGGACGGTTTCCTTCTTTCGGCAGCGGCACCACAGTTTCATCATGACCGACCCTGTGGTACGCGCAGTTTTGCGGTCGATTCGGGCCACAGAGTGTTCAGCCATAGGCCCTGCTGGTGGACCATGTGGCATTTGGAGCAAGCGCGGCCAGGACTCCCGGGGCATCCTGCAGCGGCCAGACGAGTTTGTTGGGCGCCAGCACTGTGCAGCATTGCTGTGCGCCAGCATTGTGCAGCATCGTTGGGCGCCGGCATTGCGGTTCCATTCTTCGCACGGGAACGGACAAGTAGACATTGTTGACGAGGAGGCGGCTGCTCGCGAGGGCGGCCAATGATTGTTCTACCAGCTGCTCATGTGTACCAGCGACGCGACGGAATACCAGCTAATTTGTGGGGAAGAGGGGGAGAAGGTGAGGAAGCGTTGGAGGAGGAGAAGGAGAATGAAGATGGGGATGTGGATGATAAGCCCCATTTGCTCCTTCCCTCTCCTGCAGAGTAGACGACTGGCTGGTCGTCCCCTCCGTCGCACGGTGGTCACCGCCTTTGTAGAGGCAGGTCTCTACAGCGTTATCCCACGACTCAACCAGACGAGTGCCACGTGACGGCGGGGCCCAACATCCTCTTCATTCTCCTCAGCCCCCCGCCCCACTTTCTGTCCCAGCCCCTTCCATTCCTTTCCGTGTTCCCCTTCCGTCCACTCTCCTCCCCCCCCCCCCCGATCCTCTCCCTTTCCCTCCACCCTCCCCCTCAGGGGCAACTAAGAGATAGGCTCGGGCGGGGGGCGGGGGCATCGACCCCCAATCGCGGATCGGGGCCCGATTGCCCCAGCCCCGCCGAAGTACGTGTGGATTCGCTATCGGCTGCCTGTCGTCAATCTATCGTCGACGTATCGCCGATTCCAGGTCGACGATGCCCCCCCCCCCCCCGTGAGCGGGTCCCCGCCTGAACGTGCCCATGCATCCCCCTTCCCCCACACCTCCCGATCCCTCCCCCCCCGACACCCCTCCTTCCCATCGATTTACCCCTTTTCCATAAATGAGATGTTCGATCATGGACCGCTTGTTAAACACAACCATCTAGCGTTTGCCCCGAAGACCACAAGTCCGTGACCCTAAAAGGCCGCCGAAGACCGATCAAGACCGATGGGTAATAAAGGGTCCATGGTCGAACGCGGAGCATCCCCCCTCCCTCCTGCTTCCCACTCTCCCTCCCCCCCCTGCGCTCGTTGGCCAGGGTGGGCCAGGCAACATCAGGTCGATCGAGGTGATTCTCACGGGCGGGGGGGCCATGATGTTTTGTTTTTCCTTTTTTCCCTACCCCTTCTCATGCATCCTCTTCCTCTTTCACTCCCCACACCATGATATGCCCCACCGTCTCCTTGGCGTCCTCCTCCATCCCTCCTCCCACCTCTCTCCTCCCGTCCTCGCCTTGTCCTTCTTCCCTCTCTCTGAAGGGCTCGGAATACTACAAACCAATGACTCGTCTGAATTGTCTACCGTGGCAGCTCCCGCTTGTATGGATTGACCTTCGCCCATGCAGTGGCATTCAAATTCTTGGCCATCACTAACAGTCCGTGAAACAGGTTGGGTGGGTTCGTACGATCGGATATTCCAGTGAACCGGGACGGGGCCAACCACATATCAAGTAAGTGCGCGACGCGAAATAGGGATGCGCGATCAAATAGGACAACAATTTGTTCAATCCAATTGCACAGCGACCATCACCTAAGATGCGAACACGTTCTGGAGTCTGGAAGCCCCACCCCAGAGGATACCACTATTATCCACAACGCGTGAGTGAGAACGGCACCGCCAGACTTGTCGAGCACCGAGAAGTTGTTTGTGGGTGGTTGTCCGAAGAACCTGAAGTGCTCCGTACTACCGGGTCAACAAGATTTCAGCCAGAGCCCAGTATCCCCAAACAGCGTTTTGTTTCAGCCAAGGTGGTTTCTAATACGTATTGTCCGCGTGCTCTCCTGTTTCTGATCCGCCTGCTACTTCGGCGTCGTCGTCGAGCTTTTCGTGATCGTCGTTGTCGTCCACGTATTCTCCTTCTCGGCCTCGCCCTCCCACTTCCCTCGTCCTCCTCCTCCTTCTCCTCCTCCCCCATCCTCTTCCTCCTCCTTGTCCTCCCCATGGCACTGCCGCTCCTCCTGCTCCTCCCCCTTCGCTTCCTCCTCCTCCTGTATCTCGTCCTCTCACCTCTCCTCGTCCCCCTCTTCGTACGGAATTGTACTCACTCTCCTGGTTGTATTACTCCTCGTTGTTTTCTTCCTCTCCTCCTCTTCATCGTCTACCGCGTCATCGACCTCATTGTATTTCTCCTCATGCTCCTCCTCCTGCTCACCGCGATCCTCCTTGCATTCCTGATACGCCTCCTCGTGCTCCTCGTCCTCCGCGTCGCAATGCTGCTCACCCCGCCTCTCCTCGCAATGCTCCTCCTCCTCATCATCATCCTTCTCCTTCCGTAGCCACGTTGGCTCAAGCCATTTTGGCTCAAGCCACATGCCAGGCCAGGGCCCCATACGCGCCCTACCACCCGCATGCAGTGGTGCGCGCCGCCGCCGCTCTGAGTGACGCCTGTTTCCTGTCTTGATCTGCTACATGGTGCACTGCCGCGCGCCATTGAAGCTGAGAATTCGTCATGATCGTAATCGTGCGCGTGCTTACCTTCGACCTCTGCCCCACAATATGCGCCACATCGCCGTCCCCGAGCACTTGGCGTCGAACGCCAAGGATGTCGTGACGGGCCTTGCTGCTCCAACACAAACGTAACACCCGAGCCTGAGTATGTTCAGCGGTCGGCTTCGGGTGGACAGCTACTGGTAATCAAAACCGACCCCATGTGCGCGACGCTGGGGCGAGGTGAGCCACGCGTGCCAGGCGCGCCACGTGCGCCAGGCACCCCTGGGCCCGAGCGTGCCAGGCACGCCTGGTGCGCCAGATGCGCCACGTGCTCCGCGTGCGCCAGGTGTGCCGCATACTCCAGCCGCGCCGGGTGCGCCACGTTCGGGGCACGTGCAGGGTGTGTGAGGTGAGCCTGCGCACGTGACAGCACACATCGGGAAACATGTCGGCCCCCACCCTCCTTGTCGAAAACCAATGCCCGTCATTGTGTCTGGTGGGCCTGCGCACAGCAGGCCATACGCCACCACCCCCGCCGTCCCTGTCAAAAACCACTTGACAGTGATCGCGGGGTGGCCGCGCACTAACCAAATTTAGCCGCGAGCTGCATTTTGTATGGTTTTCTGTTAGGGATGGTAGCCTTGCGAACAGCAGGCAATATGCTAACACCCCGCCGTCCGTGTCAAAAGCAATACAAAGTGCTCGCGGGCATCACGAATATGATTCATGATTTTACTTCGTATTGTTGTTTGACAGGGATGGTGGGGTGGGGGGGGTCGCATCGGGTTGGCCGCGCATGAGTGCGTTTTGGTTTGTTTTTTGACAGGGATGGTGGGGGGGGGGTGAGCATGGTTCCTGGTTTGGCCGCCGGTGGCTCGGGGGAGGGTGTTTATAGTAATAGGGAACAGTTATAAAGCCCTCCCGCGAGCAGGGGAGAGAAGGGTTTTGGCAGGGAGAGACTACAAAACTTGTTGTTCCACCGACGCCCAGAGGGCTGGTGGGATTTACTGAGCAATCGTGCTCGCGCCTCGGCGCCGTTCACCTCTTGCGTCGGGCCAGAGGCGCCCAGATTTTCCCCCGAGCCCAGAGTTGCGAGGATGCATCCAGCGAGACGCGCCACATTGAGATGATGTCTCAGGCGAAACGAGCTGGACCACCTCGCGCACATCTTCAAGGATCCCAGAGCTGCGAGGATGTCTCGGGCGCAACGGGCTCGACGAACTCGCGTGCGACATCTGGGAGCTCCGAGTTGCGAGAATGTCTTACGCGGTACCCAGACCCATCCCAGAGCACAGTTCGACAACAGAAGAGTGGGTCTGGCTCCTCCCTCCTTTCTCCTCCCTCTCTGAGCCCAGAACGTCGAGGATGTTTCAAGCGAAACGGGCCAGATCACCTCGCACGCAGCATCCTGGAGCCCCGAAGTGCGAGGGTATCTCATGCGAAACTGGCTACAACCCTTGCGCACATTTTTTTCTCAAAACAAACCCTTGCGCTCATTTTCTCAGAGCTCAGAGTTGCGAGGATGTCTCAGGCGAAACGAGCCAGACCACCTCGCCCGCAGCATCTCAGAGCGCAGGGGTGCGAGGATGTCTCATGCGAAACGCGCCAGCCCACCTCTCGCGCGACATCTCGGAGCTCAGAGTTGCGATGATGTCTCAAGCGCAACGCGCCGGACCACCTCGCGCGCGGCAACTCGGAACGCAAAGTTGCGAGGATGTCTCAGGCGAAACGCGCCCCAGACCACCTCTCGCACGGCATCTCCGGGCATCGAGAGTTGCGAGGATGTCTGAGGCGAGACGGGCTCGACCACCTCGCGCGCGGCGTCCCGGAGTTCAGATGTTCGAAGATATCTCAGGCGAAACTAAACAGTCAATCCCGGTCACTCAGAAGCGAGAGTTGTGAGGATGTCTCAGGCGAAACGGCCCGGACCACTAGATGTTTTGAAGATGTCTCTGCTCCATTCTCCATTTGCCAGAGTTCGCTTCTACCACATTAGCACCTCGTTCGGCAAGCTGTTTTGGAAAACGTGTCACGGCTTGCGGTGCGGCTTGCGAGTGCGGGGGAGTATCGAGCCCACGCTCTCAGTCATCAAACATTGGCTGCAGAAGTCCTTCTTCCTCTGTCCCCCCCTCGCCCTCAACCTTCTCCCGGTTGCGCCCCCCTGAGGCATAGCTCACTCCCCCGATGCGACCGCGAGGTGCTCTTGGACGTCGAGCGACAGATCCTCGAATTGAAGGGCGGCCCAGACTCGCCTGACTCGGCGGGCGCTCGTCGTTGCCGTCGCCGCCGCCGTCGTCGTCTTCCTTGTCCTCGTCCCCGTCTTGATCGTCCTGTTGGTCGTCGCCACTGGCCTTGTCGTTAACCTCGTTGCCCCAGTCCTCCTCTACTCTTCGTCGTCCCCTCCTCCTTCCGCTCACACCTCCACCATCCTCCTCGTCATTCCTTGTTTTCCTCGTTGCCCTCCTTGCCCCGCCTCCCCTCATCCTTTTCTGGCTCCTGGTTTCCCACCTCGTCCTATCCCTCCTTGTGGTCGTCCTCCTCAGCCCCTTTATCGCTCTCGTCCTCCATTCCCTCCCCCTCTTGCGATGCTTTCGCCGCAGCTGGGGGAGGCGGCCAAGTGGCTAGACCCCTCACGCCAGAAGCTCGTGAAGTGGAACACCCGGCCCCGCCTTCTACCTCATTCTCCCTCCCCAGGGCGCGCACTTCTGGTCCCTCTCGTCCCCACCTCCCCTCCTCCTCCTACGGCCCGCGTTGTCCATCTCCTCTTTATCTCGTGGCCACTCTCCTCGCTCTCCATGCTCTCCTCCTCCTCCTCCTCCCCCTCCTCCTCCTCCTCCTCCTCCTTCTCCTCGTCTTTTTCACCATCCCTCTCCTCTCAGCCGTTCCCTCTCCCGTTGTTCACTGCTTGACCTGTAGCTTGCACTAGTAGGGTCGAGCAGCTCGATGCACTCTGAAGCCTGTGGCGCTACAGGAACCTCCGATGGAGGCATTCATAACATAATCTTCTCTCGTGAAATGTCCTGTTTGCGGGCGACTGCTTGACCCGTGGCTGGGCGTCCTCTTCTCCTCCTTCTCTTGCTCCTCATCCTCCTTCTCCTCCTCCTTCTGAGAGGGAGGCAAAGTGGACGAAGTCGACTTTGCCTCCCTCCCTTTGCCTCCCTCTCAGCTGCCGAGTTTTGCGACCCAGAGGGTTTCGCGCAGCACATGTCCCTCTGCGTCTCCACTGTCGGGATCCTCAGGTGGGTCTTCGGAGGTTCCCGGAGGCCTGGGGGGCGCCGAGGGAGCTGGTAGATGCTCGGGTCTACTGCTTGCGCCACCGTCAGGGCCACCTCATGCCATTTTTGTTCACTGGAACATACACAACCACGGGCTGTCTTCTGAGCAACGGCGCCGGACGACCTCGATGATCAAGGCAGACCTCAAATGGGCCAAGTCGAACGCGCGGGAACGTCTGGTAGTCATCACTGGCGACTTCAACATTGGGGAGACCATGGACCGCGAGGATTTCATGGAGTCCCCGGCGGAGAACCCCGCAGCCCGGCGACGCCCCTGCGAGAAGAAATAGGCGGGCGCGCTGGCGTCTGCAACGGAGCTCACGGCTGACCTCCCGACCCATTGGGACCAGGGCACGCGCCAGGCCACGGTCATCGACAAGCTCTTCCTCAGTGTGCCCAAGTGGGCGCTTTGCCAGGGCTGGCAGTCGACTTCCATCCTCGGTGAACCTCAGGAAAACACCATCAACGAGATCAGCGACCACAGCCTGCTCATGACTGAATTGGCGAGCCGGCGACCTAGGCCGCGGGACGCGGCTCACCCTGCGCCCATAGCGCCTGCAGTCTGCAAGCATGCGAAGTTCAAGGAGTACCTCCAGGCCTACGTCAACACCCTGCCGCTCCAGGACATGGCTCCTCCCGACCAGTACGCGATGCACACGGTTGCCATGCAGGCGGCGGCGAAGGACACGCAGAATTTTCTCCTCCGCAACCATGGCCGGTCCCAAGAGTCGCTGGCGATGATCTTCCTCCAAATGGGCCGTGCTGTTCATCGCAATTGGCGTGGGCTGGCCTCCACATTGATGGCCAACCATGTGTGGACGAGGGAATTTATCTCTGTGGTGGAGGGCCGGGTCAGCATCGTAGACCACGCCCGCTTCCAGATGGAGTTTGACCTGGCCCAACGACGGGCTGGCGCACACCGCCGTCGTGCCTTGGAACGTCCCGAGGCGGCCGAGACCCAGGCTGAGTTACGTAAGCGGCTGCAGGGCCAGCAACGAGCCCATCGGCGTCGATCTAAGCTTTGGGCCCCGTCCGGGTCTCGAAAGTACCTCATACGGCTGGTGAAGGAGGACGGGGAGGTGGCGGGCACCCTTGAGGAGATCAACGTGGGCCTGGCGCCCTTCTGGGGCTCAGTATTCTGCCCTGCGAACCGCCCGGACACCCCGCGCAAGATGGCGATGCGTTAGAAATGTGTCTCGAAGTTCGCCCTGCCCCAGGCGCCGTGGGACATGTGGGGGCCCCCGCAGACACAGGACTTGCGGCGAGTCCTTCGCGTTGCCAAGGTTGCGATGCCCTGGCCTGACGGTCTGCCAGCTTGCGCCTGGCTTCAAAACGAAATTGGCCCCAGTATTCTCAAGGCCTCCCTGGACTGGATGGCGCCGGGGCTGCCCATGAGATCCGATTTCAACGACTCCATCGGCGTGTACCCCCCGAAGGGTGAGCTCCCGACGGACGGCGAGGGCGTAGTGCGGGAAGCAGGCAAGACACGCCCCCTGGCTCTTCGCAATACCGGGGCGAAGGCGATCTCGGCGGCGATCAACACGAAATTGAAGCGAGGTGTAGCCCACTCTGTTGCGCGCTCCCAACGAGGTTTCATCGTAGGCTGCAACTTTTTAAACAACATAGTCGCACTAGATTGTCGTGCCCGGCTGGAGGGAATGCTTCCTGCCTCGCCTTCCCGCTTCCCCCTTCTCCTCGCGTTCGACTATGCGCAAGCCTTCCCTTCGGTCGAACACGCATTTTTGTGGGACGTCCTGACGGCATGGCGGGTCCCTTCTGGCATGTTCGATGCTTCCCAGCAGTCGTACAGCGGTGCCCGTTTGCTGAGCTCTGACCCCTCCCGCTCCCCCTTGTTCTTCATCCTCTCGGGAGTCCTTCAGGGGGACCCGGCCTCAGGCAGTCTGTTTGCTGCGGCGAGCCACCCATTTGCTGCGGACCTCGAGGCCTCGCTCGAGGCGCGACGTCGCGGATGTGCTCGCTGGTGCGCCGATGATAATGGGTCGGTGGTGGCAGGGGAGTCGGGTTTGAGGCAGCTTGCAAGGGTTTTCCGCGTGTCGAAATGGCTCGCTGGCTTAGCACTTCATCCAAACAAGTGCTTCTGCGTACCGCTGTCTGAGGCTTTTTTTTCTGAAGCGTTGCAAGAAGCAGCCCGTCAGCTTTTGCAGAGCGTTGAGCCCTCTTGGGCAGCGTTTCAAATCGTGAGCCAGCTCGTGTATCTAGGAGTGGAGCTTGGCCCCAGTGCAACTCCAGCTACCTAGTGGGCGGGGGTGCTCGAAAAGTGGAGGACCCGGACCCGAGACATAGCCCGGTCGGCCGCGGAACAATCCACCGCAGTCAGCCTCTACCGCGAGCGTGCCACCAGCGTGTAAGAGTACAAGGCTCAACTCTTCCGCCTCCCCCCTCCCTCCACCACGACGAGCTGTACGTACTTCTGCGTCTTTTCAGGGCGCCGGGCAGCTGGCTTCCGCTCCGCGCCTTCTGGGACTTGCCAGTCCTCGGAGGCCCCCTGGTGCCAAGTGTCGAGGCTCTGGCAGCAGCCTGCCGTGCCAGGGCGGCAACTGAAACTTTATCTTGCCGGCGGGGTGCGGTGCGTAGGCTTCTCGAGGCTGCGCGGCGAGACCTGCCGATAGTAAGGTTCATAGATGCACGCAGTGCCGCTCCGTGGCCAGAGTTCTGGCAGTCGCCAGCGATCTCCTGGGAGCTTCGGGATGCTGCTGGGGAAGGCCTTTCGGTAGGTCAGACCTGGCTCCCTCATGTTTTGTCGGGACTGGCTCGACTGGCTCGGGACAGGGAGTCGGTCCTGCAGAGGTCAGCGGAGATCGGCACGTTTCGTGCGGTGCGCGTGCGCACGCAGAGATCCTTTGCGGCAGGATATATAATGTCACGCTTCAGGCCTGCAGGGTCGCTCATCGCAGTCCTCGGCCGAAGACTCCAAACTTGGTTTGGCCTTGAGAGGGGGGATCTGGCTTGTGTCGAGCGTGAGCGTGTCCAGGCGGAACTTCTGAGATCCCCCCCCTCATGGAGGATGGCGGCTTTAAAGACTTGGAGTGGAGGGGGGTTCCTCGACGAGGTTGAGGAACCCCGACGCCCGCTGCCGCGTATGTGGAGTGGTGCCGGATTCGCTTAAGCATTCTTTCTGCTGCGAGGTGTTCCTCGGCATGGTCTCGGAGGTCTGCCGATCTCCCTTCCCAGAGGCGCCCCTCCACAAACGCGCCCTCGGCCCCACGGACCAGGAGAGTCTTCGTAGAGTGGTGGTGGCCTTCCATTTTTATCGCAAGCTGGCGCACGCCAAATCTATAACGACGGTTTTCCCCAACAGGGAAGCGCTTGCCATTGCTCGCGCAGCGAGGCAAGCGGCCGATCTGCCGAGGGGCGGTCGGCGGTGATGACGAGACGAACTTTCCCTCTCGACGATCTGCCTCCTCCTCCTTCTCCTGCTCTTGTTCAGCGTCCTTCTGCTGCTCCTCCTCCTCCTCCTCCTCATCCCTGAGGGCTCTGGCCCTCCCCGCTACCCTCTGAGGGCCCGTCCCGCCGGACCGACATCGCGCGCTCGTTCGCCCGTTCCTCCCCATTCCTGTGCAGAAGGTGCGCAGGGCTCCTGTTGGGTAGACAGGGGGGGACGCAGGGGGGCGCCTGAAAGGAGGCCGTTGGCCTCCGAGGAACACCTCCCCCGAGCCCTCTGGAGTACGCCACCGGGGCGTTACAGTTTGTTTTACGTCGCAGCGCGGCAGAGGCAGTCGTGGCAACCGCTAATTGTCTGGCGGGCGGGGGGGGGGAGCGAGAGAACGGGGGGGGGAGCGAGAGAACAGGCGGGCGTTCGTGTCAAGGAAAAAGAAGGGGAAGCGAAGGCACTCACAGGGCGAGGTGCATCGCTTGCGAGCGGCCGGGGCGGCCAGCCAGGGTTCCATCATCCAAGCAGTGCGCGCGGGGCGGCATCATGGCCATGCCCAAGGGCAGAAGCGCAGGCAGAAGTACGCGAAGTGCA